TGTTGGCCAGGGAGCAAAGTACTAGACATGGCTGAGAACATTAGTGCAACAGTGCAAAAGCATGCTCAGCAACCAGCACAGAGAAGAAGACATACCACATTGCATACATGTACTGTAACATAATTACATTCCTCCAGGCACACACATGCACACAAGCACAGGTTGATGCACAGCAAGTCAAAACCAGTGTTTAAATTCCAGGGAGACATCTGTAATGAGGACTGAGTCATTTGGATCTAATTATGGGCAACCAAGTGGAAAAGATGGAGTAAATCAACTCAAAGTGATTTCAGTAAAGAAAACTCAATTCCAGCGTGTACACTCAATTCACCATAAATTTAATTAATGTTGTTTTAAATGGAAGCACTCAGCTGATTGTGTGTCATAAAACATTGCTGAGGTTTCAACTTCACTCCCCCTCTCTCATTTCTCTTTCCTCTTGTCCTACAAGTATGGAGTGAAATAACAGCGCTCTTGTGCCATCTTGTGTTTTCTTTTGCATCCTACAAGAGGCGAGACAGTCCTCTTGTTCTAAGCATAAAATTAAGATGCTGAAAAAATGTGGTAGTAGGTTAAGTAGTTATTTAATATATTGAATATCATTTTACTCAACCAGAATAATTTATGTTAAAATGCAGTGTATGTTTGGATTATCTTGATGATAATTAGCTAATGAATAGCATTAATATGCTGTAGGACCCAATCTATGTAATATATTAACTTGTGTTTCTGTGTTACTCAAATCCAAAGTTGTTTCCAACTTAGTGCAGTTACTTGCTGGAGTACAGTGCTTCACAACCTGGAGGTCAGGGACACTTAGGGGATCAAATTAAAGGATCGCGAGAATGTTAACAAGATTATAAAGAGGAAAAGACCTCTTTTAACAGTTTAAATCTTCGTGTAATCAATTCGGATGATTTCACCTCTTCTGGCCTCTAATAAGTATTATACAAAATCCACTTTTACACATTTTTTCAACCTAATTATGTGTCCCAGGTGTGTCTAAAGACCCCTCAAACTATACATCAAAAATGGATGTGCGTAGCATAGGACGCAGTAGACGGCCCCGCCCACTGAATACGTACTGAATGCACCACATTGAATACAATAAAAAAATTTTTTACTAATAACTAACCCATTAGATACTAGTAACTATTTTAGTTTCGAGTAACTATTTTTTTGTCATCAGTAAATCATTGCAGATTTTTGCCATTGAAATGTATGGGGCTCTGCAGTTCAGATATCATCAATTCATCAGTTACTAGTAACTATTCCAAAAGATGAAAATGAGCATAATATAGGACCTTTAAATAAAAATAATCTGAGAGTGAAGAGTCACATACACATCACAACTTTTATAAATATAGAACTTTTAACAAGGGGTTGGAAGTAGACTAAGCTGTCTTTAAGGGTGTCACAAGCCAATACAGTTTGGAAACCATTAGTATAATACTGATGGAAATTGCACTGTGTTAATTTTTCCTCTAGATGGCCTTAGCTACCAACTGCACACAAGAGGGTCAGAGAAAGGAGGACAGTATTTGCAATACAGCAGGATACATTAAAAATGCTTAGAGGTCAATAAAAGTCATTGTGCTCCAAAAGCAGCATCCCATTGATTATATACTAATGAGGAAAGTACAGAATTTCAGCAGCTGTAACCGCATGAAGGAAAAGAAATGGGGTTTCCAAAAAACTAAAATGTTGCCATGAAATTTGCAGAGTTGAATCATAAAACGTGTTGGTATAAAAAGAATAACACAGATATTCTTTCACAGCTCTCCAAATAATTTGTTTCTCACACATAAACCACATGACAGAATCTCATGCATATTCCAATTCTGCAGGTGTTGTTAGTGTAAAAATACAACTCCAGACATCTGATGACAAGTATCAAGTTTGTACAGTGACAGATGTGTTTACTGTGAACATGACTATAAATCATGTTGACAGTAAAGCAGTCGGAGGTCACACAAAGTCATTTTGGTTCTTGATTTGTCATACTGAGGAAACTGAAAGGTTAAAAGCAAATTACTTGAAAAATGAACAAACTTAATAGTGGCAGGGTTTGCGTCAATGAATTGGCATGTTTTAAATAAAGATAAAGGAAAGCTGTTTGTGTATACAAATGTTCCATAATTGTGTTTATGTAAGGCATAAGGTACATACATTTATTGTCATCTTTGCAATAAAATTAAGACAGGGGCTTTGTTTAAATTGCTTTGATAAGTTGTAGATTATAAAGGAAGAAGACATTAATCACAAGGGTGAATTTGTGTTGGAGTTGACGTTGCAGATATCAGTTACTCTTCCTTCCTTACTTTCTTCCTCGTCTGGTGTTCATGGTGGTGACAAGATCACATTAATGTTGATTTAGCTCCTTCTGAACGCTCTCAGTGTCAGCTGTCGTCTATATATGGCTTTTGTAAGTGATCTGAGCTGTAAGTGTTGCTGATGCTCCTGAAATCAAATCTCTATCTCTGGATTACCCTCACCTGTTACTAATAAACACTTTATTGGAGAGAACATGAACCCATATTTTGTCCGTAATCTCATGGTTGTGTGTTCTCCTAACTCATTACACACACATTCAGGCACTGTCAGTGTCCCAGTAGTCTATTCCTATTTATGTGTCTCTGACCTATGGTGGACAAACAAAGGCATTTCAGTTTTGTAAATACTTTTGTGAACATGATTCTTGGAGCTGGCCAATCTTCTTTTTTTTTTTTCTCCCCAACTATAATGGGCAACCCACCCCGCTCGGGCTTGCCACCAACTGGCAGTGGCAGCAGGCTGCCCAGACCTTGGAGCAGTATCAAGCAGACCAGGCCAGTCTCCCAGCAGCCAAAACCCAACAGATGCATCCTACTGAAGCCCGACATCACAAAATCAGGGGACTAAAATTTGAAATATCCTCCCTCACACATAAACACACACATATTCACGTCTAAATATAAACACTCCCTCAGCTAGGGAGTTAGTGGCTAAGTAGAAATAAAATCTGGTGTATCAATTTAATTTCTGCTGATTTCTCTTTGCCCTTCCAGTATCTGTTTCTCCATGGCTTTGCTTTTCCACCATAAGTTTCATTTGTAATGGAGTAGCTGGGGGTCCTGCCAGTGCTGTATGTTTGGAAGGTCAATGTAACATTGCCAAAAGCTTACATTTTATGCTATTTGTGCATTACAGTATGCTTTGTGTTTTATTAATAATTCAGTGCATCCTCAAGAATGTTTTTCTTGTCAGCATGTGTTTGTCTGAAACATCTACACTGTTTACTGTATTACACTTAAAGGGTAACTATGGTATTTTTCAACCTGGACAATACTTCCCATGTTATGTGCATATGTGACAAATTGGAAATTGGTCCAGTATTGCACTCTTCAGATTCCACAGATAAAAATAGTAACTTTACCTCCCTGATCTACCACTGCCTCGATCTATTAGTTTGTTTGTATTATTGTGTGACTTTGGTGTTTAACCCTTCAAAACACCAAAGTCACACTATAACACAAACAAACTAACCGACTGTGTTAGCAGCAGACGAACAACTCCCGTGTTCTGTAAAGTAAAATTACTGTTTTAGTCAGTGGAGTCTGGTGGCTTTGACGAGAGCAATATAGTGACTGTTTCTGGTTAAACAAAAAGGATTTAACTTTTTTTTCTGTGTAGGGATCCTTTCCATGATGTTGTCAGACACTTATAGTAACTATCTGAGCCTGTCAGTGGCAAAAACAAGCACTTTAGTAGATGTACTTTGACAGGGCGCAATTGCCTGCAAGGATTACCTTGCAACCTTGTTTCTCTGCTGCCGACTGCAGCGTACTCACTCAGTTCTGGACCAATTTTTCAAAATGTTGTCCCAGTTAATCACATAGATACAAAAACGTGGGAATAAAGGGTCCAGGTTTAAAAATACTGTAGTTTAGACCATTCACTGAGACCATAGTAAAATAATGGTGGACGAGCAGCTCCTCAAGTTGTGATCAGGATCTGTCACACCATTCGTGCAGCATGGAAAATCTGGACAAATAAATTCATACAAATCCATTATTAATTTACAAAAAAAATCAATGACTGAAATTTTCAAAGAGAATAAAATGTCACTGCATACTGTTTTGCTGTAGCTGCCGTCCAGGAAGAGCCTCCAACCTGTCACTGAACAATATTGGTTAATAACAGCTCACGCAACACATTTGTCACTGTCAAATATCAAGTTCTAAATTAAATTCGATTTTTTTTTATGCCTGTCCCTATCGCTCCATCTGCCCTTAGAAAGACAAATAGTTTCAAGACCATACAACATCCTGCAACTGATCAATGCCTTGTAGTGAGGACATCCTTACACAACAGTGTGCTGTGCAAACCCTGTGAGATGTTCAGAAAGAATATATCCACAGAATATAAAACATTTTCTGTTCTGTTCTTTTTTCATTTGGACACAACCACTCTCCATGCACTGCTCTGTGCCGTCTCTGCAGCTCTGTCAGGCTCTCTAATAGTGGATTAGTTTGGGCTTGTAAATGCTGTAAAGCTCTGAGAATGAACATCGATTTTGCAGTTTAATGAGAAATAACGTGGGACAGACCCCGGCACCATCTCTCCCTCCCTCTCTTCCTCTCTCCATCGCTTTCTAACAAACTAGCGCACACACTTTGTCTTCTTTACACCAAAGCACCTGACAGTCACGAGAACTATGAATGCTCTTGTAATGCAGCCACATCAGCCGGCATCAGCGTTAAAGGTGACACATTTTACTTGGGAAAATCATCCAAAGGCAAAAGTGCATGTTTTGCTGGGAGGAACAATTTTACTGTCAAGGCAAAGAAAAAAAAGAAAAGTCAGACAAAGTTACACACACAGGCACATCCTGCCATCTTTCTCCAGACCAATGCTGGCACTATACGTCCTCAGGCCTGGTGGTGGTGGTTTGATAAATTGGCCCTTTCATCTCGTCGATGTGCATTGTGTCAGTGGGTTCGTGTGTATTTGGAGCAAGTACATACTTGTGTGTGTGTATGTGTGTGCATGTCCGCCTGGGTACATTGTCTGAGCTGTGAAGTGTTTGGCGTCCTCACTGAAGGCTGCTGTCACAGCCTCTGAAAGCGTGTAATAGGCGCCCATTCTGCCGGAATGAATACGTATCCATACACCAGTGAGAAAATGTGGCATTTCAAAAAGACTCGGGATAATCAAACACAAAAATTATAAAATGGGGCATAGCGATGTCATTCTTTTCAGCTAAGCCCTAAATTTGATGTATATGATTGCTTTGTGAAATGTTTGTAGTCCACAGTGAAATAATGCTCTTTTTTGATAGATCAATGGTGGTTATTGTTGGCTGAGCAAAACATTCTGGCACCAAACATGGGGTTTCTATGAGCTGGACTGTGATTCATGGCTGTGTAATGTTGTCTTGGTTTGATTGGGATTCAAAGGCAACTGTTTGTTTATTTAGATTCCTTAGAAATACATCTTCCTGAAATATGGAAGAATTTGGTTTTGGTGAGATAATGATTAGTACAGTCTGCAATTTTCTAACACAAGTGTGCTCTGTTCCAGTGTGTCTGTGTTTGGAATTAGACCTACACTTGCGTTGGCAATGTAAAACATCTGTTTCCCATGCCAATATGGCCCCATTGAATTGAACTGAATTGAAATACTGCAATCATCCTCATATTGTAGCCTGTGAGTTGACTAGTCAGCATCTTGCTTTCACCCAGTGTAAAATCAACACGTCTGCACAAAAAAAGCAGTATGTAGAAGAGTAATTAAAGCCATTGGAAAGGGGAACAACTGTGGAAATATCCATATAAATTAGCTGTTAAGTCTACAAAAAGCCAGGAAAAAAGGTGAAAAATAGCCATCACAAGCTTCCTGAGCCCAATGTGACGTCTGTAAATTGCTGGTTTTGCCTGACTAACAGTCCAAAGCCCAAAAGGCATTCAATGTACAGTGAAATTGAATATGAGTAGAGTGGCACACTATTTAAGGTGCTGGCCAAGCCACTGGGGGCAACTTGGGGAACCACCAACCATGCAGTGGTATGTGGCAGAAATATTTTTCCTTCATTACTCCCATCATCCCCGGACCCCTGCCACCCCATAGATTTATCTGGGTGCATGGTTAACATGTGCATCATAATAAAATCACAGGAGATTATTAAATGTCACTGAGTGTGAGAGGAGATTGTTGCACACCTGACCAGCATAAACACTTAATTAGGCTCCTAGTATGCTGCGGAAACACAGGCATCAATTTTACAATGAATTTGGGCGCTGCTTCTGTCTCTGTTCATTTTTTATGTAAGATGATATTCATGTGGGTGCACTGTGCGGAAACCTACTCACTCGACCAGTGCTCCCACTCACTCACTCACTCACTCTGCAAATCCAGCATTCAGTCTGCACTATCACACACACTGTGTGAGCCGAGAGCTTTCTGTCTTTCATTCATCCAAGTGAGGGCTGCTCACACTTTCTGCCTCTCGTCCTCCCTCTTCACTCCCTCACGCTGGAATAGCTCACTTTGTTTTTGTTTTCCCTCCGCGGTGCCTTTTGGTTCGGAGTAGTAGTGGATGATATCAACAGAGCTACGTTTCTTCTTACCTCCGCGATACTACGACGCTGGAGAGGAGTCGCTAGAGGACACGCGCATCACGACGGAGAGCAGCGCGAGGGAGTTTTTTTTTGTTGTTGTTTGTGTTTTTTTAAAAGGAGGGGACGGCGCGATTTAAAACAAGAAATAAACAAAATATCTGCATTGAACAGGAGCGTTACCGCGGACGCTCCACCTGCCGAGACTCCCGTTACGTTTGGGCGGATTTTACGGCACAGGTGCGTTAAAGGATTAAATACAGGCAGTTGGCGGATGGTTGTCGGTTTCGTGGTGAGGAATCACTGCCTCAGCGCAAGGTGAGTGACGGACTACGAACTAAATGTGAAATACTGACAGCAGAGTTTGTTCAACAGATGACTTATTTACCAGTATTAACCTCGCTTTTTGACGTCTGGATCTCGGTCTGTTTCAAGCAGAATACCGAAAGTTTTGGCACCTTAAATCACTCAATATTTTTATGGAATTCCTGCTGGGTTATTGAGAGTCAGTGGAGTTTCTAGCAACCTCTGCAAACTTTGTGGTATTTTAATCTGTAGATAAACCTGAGGCATCCTAATTTACAGCGTCTACTGCTGCATGATATTACAGTTTTCCTATAGTCCTTAAAATATCCTTTTGGAACAATTTCTCATATATATGCTGTGTTTCTAGAATTGTTGTTTAATCAGGATGTTGACCATGAGGTGTTTGGACTAATATAGCTTAGTTGTGTGTTTGGTCTAAAAAATTAAAATAGTGAAAATTGTGCATCACACTATCCCAGAGTCCAAGGTATGATCCCCAAATGTCTTGTTTTGTCAGAACAACAGTGCAGTACCCAGAGACATTCAGTTTACAGTGATACAAAGACAGAGAAAATAATCTTTACATTGTAAAATGTGAAACCAGAGAATGGCTGGTGTTTGTGCTTGATAAACTAATTGATTAATCATCACTAAAACAGCTGCATTTTCTGGAAACTTTTCACAGCAGTGAAAATCCGAGCTCTGGCCAACCTTCAATAATGACTTCTTTGTGAAATGTGAAAATGTGACACATGTCAGATATAATATGGATTAGTTCTGATACTTGCTGCATCTAGTTTCACTGGCTCCTATCCATCTCATCAAGAGCCCTCTCACTGCAAGTATTTGTCACTTTGGGAACAATGTCCACTCAGCCTCATACTGGGCGTTTTTGGCAGGATGATACCAGCTTATGGCCTTAACACAGCACTCGCCTGCCTGTCACTAGGACACCCACACATGTGTGTACACACCCGCACACACACACAAACATAGTACAGAGTACAGGCTATCTCCAAGTATCACTCATTCCGACATTGTAATAAGGTGTCATGAACTAAAACAACTTTATTTACTAATCTTTTTTAAATAAAATAAATAATAATAATAATAATAATAATAATAAAGAAAAAGAAAAAAAACCCTAATCATTTCCTTTGGCGATTAATCTGACAATTATTTTCTCGATTAGTCACAAACCAAATATATTCAGTTTGCTGTCATAGAAGAGTAAAGAAACCAGAAAATATTCACATTTAAAAAGCTGGAATCAGATCATTTTGACCTTGACTGATTAATCAATTATCAAAATAGCTGGCGATTAATTTAATAGTTGACAGCTACTCGATTAATCGTTGCAGCTCTCATGTAATCACAGCCATCATTTCAGTCCCCTAAAAGGGACATTTTATTTACCCCAAGCGGTACTCACTGCAGTCTATATCTATACTCTTTTCATTTCCACTGAATTGCACCGTTTCTATTTATCCACGTGTGGCCCAGCAGTCTGAGATGAGCTGAGGCTTCATCGTTTGCTTACATACAGTTACTGATCAGCATGAGCTGACTTCTGCTGTACTTCAGGTCACTGCAGCAGGCAGGGCAGCAGAATGTGTCAGAGCTAGAATAGTAATGGACGTTACATACCATACTGGAGCTGCAACTGATGATTATTTTCATTACAGTGAATCTGCCAAGCAAGGTGACTTCTTCAAAATGCTTGTTTTGTCAAAACGTGATTAGATTTGATTAACTTGATTAACATTTGATTTTTTTTTGTTTTGTGTGATCATAAACTGAACGTTTTGGAGTGTATTCGTACACAACAAGACATTTGAAGACGTCATCTTGGACTTCAGGAAAGTGTGTTGGACATGTTTTGCTATTTTCTGAAAATTACGTCAATTATCCAAGAAAATAACCAGCACATTGATCAATAATGGAAATAATTGTTGATTGCAGCCATTCTAAATCCATAAATGTCCAGTTAATTATCATGTAAGACTATGAAAAGCAGGAAATCACATTTGAAAGGCTAGAACAAGCAACTGATCTTTTCCTTTCCTTTTACAGCTAATCAATTATCAAAGTTGTTGCAGAATACATTTCATCTATTGATTATTTCAGCTCTACACCATATTCCATTTAGTTACAACTGTAGAGGATGTGTTTGTATCTTTCATAATGGTGTCCCCTGTAAGTTCTGTAAATTATGTGCTTAACACCGTAAAGGTCATGTCGTAAATATAATTGTAACAGCTTGTATTCAAGCCACTTCCCATGTACCGCACTGTATGTAACATCAGAAAGAATACTCTCTTTAAGAAGAGCAAAAAAAAAAAATCAATTGGCATGTTTATAATGTGGAACATAGGCGATGTAGCTCCTGACAGCTCTAAGCCATCGAGAAGTACAGGAGCCTATTTCATTTCTCCCGCTTTCTGTCTCTCCGTCTCTCATGAGGTGCTTAACTGCATCTGGGGGAGAATCTGATTAACCGACTGGCATAATTTACACCAGTCCTAAAGGAATCAACAGAGAAGCGGTGTTGTTTTTGAAAAGTGCCGGTTTTCCTTCTAACATACAAATAAAGCAGGAGCACTCTCAAAGAAAGACACCAACACCGAGACACACAGTGATGCTCAAGAAAGTAGCTGCTGCTTCCTCTCTGTTTTAATAGGGCAGGGATTGATTGAGCGGGTGTGTGTGCTTGTGTTTGCAGATTGCTCTAGTTTCTTTAAGATTAATAGAGCATCATGTGTAGGTGTTTGTCTCTGTGTGTATATTTTCCTCTGGGAGTGCTCCATAGCAACAGGCAGCATATCCTCTTCAAATGTCTTTTTTTCTCACACACTGTATGCCATGACCTTTCTGCTGACTGTGTGCATGAGTCGTTGCATGGGTGCATCTGCATCTGTGTGTGTCTCCATGTACATCAGTGTGTGGGCCATTTGACCTTTCTTAGTGTACATTCATTATTAGCTGCATAATAACTAATGTGGAGCCGCCCGCTGTGCCTGTCTACACGATCAAGATATTGAATCTGTCTGTCTCACAGCTACATCAGTGCAGTGCCAACCTTTTTCCAAAGAGCTTTTCGTCCTTTTTCTCTCAAACAAAGCAGATATCATCACAATTGTGCAGTATTGATAATGAGTTGGGATGCTTTGAACAAGTGGCAGTTTATCATTTTTAGACTACTTCGTGTATCTCTCAGTGGGAACAAGAGAGACATCTTTAATATATATCTTGACACGGTTGTCGTGTTATGTTAATATCAGTGTTAGACTAATAACTGGTTGCATATTTCATATCCGGGACCAGCAGACAAAGCTCTTTAGAAATCAATTTTCTTTTGCTCCATCACCATGTTCGGAAACTGGCCTGCTGCCAGACAGGGAGGGAATGAGGGAAGGAGAGGGGGATATTGTGGGTGCATTAGCAGATGAGGAAAGAAAATATGCTTATCAGATGTAGAATTCATTCATTCTTTTACATCTTTGAATGTCAAAATAAGTTATTTGCTTTTGAAGAAATTCATACATACTCTATAGATTCTCTATAGAATAGATTCAAGCGGAAGAAACACAGGCACTCGGTCACAGCTCATAACTTCCTATTTATATAGGCTAGGTGCTATAAGATATAATACCCCTATTTAGTCCGTGTGCGTGCATGCGTGCGTGTGTGTGTGTGTTTGTGTGATGCACTTCACAGCTTACAGCTTAAAGTCATACCTACCGATAGCATATTCCTGTGTCCATGTGTGCTTGGTGATAATTTACACAGCACATGAACACAGCACAGTATGAGGTTTATACACTTGCATACTATCTTTGTAGATGGGAGTAGTGTGGAGACTATATCTCATATAACAGATAAAATACCGCTCTATCGTAGTATCTGTGCTGTATGAGTATAGGCTGCTGTCCTCTCTTGCTTTTCTTAGAAATATTTCTGCAAGAGAAATAAACACTGCCTTCTCATTTTCGATTCCCTTATCAAACTCAAACTCATATTTAGAAAACATATTTTTTTCTGTGAATCAAATTTCAAAGTAGGCTGAGTTCATTTGAATGAAACAGGCAGTAGCTTGTAGGGTGGTGTGTGGGTGAATACTATTATTCGAAAAATTAGTGTCTCTCCTTTGATTCTGAGGTTTTTGCTACAAGTTGTTTCATTTTTGTTTTTATCATTTGATCTGTTTTGATTTACCTGAAGCCTAATCTAAAATAGAGTTTTAGTTGCTTGTCTTTTCTTTGTTAGATCCTTTGACAGCTAATTGCCATGATCAATCATTGCTGAATGCACTGTTCTCTAACACACACAGGCAAGGGCCAGTTGAACCCAAAAGCTACAGTTGATTCCTTCAATGTAATAACACTCACACTGTCTTGGAGAACAAAGCTAGTGGCAAACTGAATAAACAAAATGACGGGGTGGTAATGGTGCAGTGGATAAGACACATGCCTTTGGTGTGAGAGATGCAGTTTAAATTCCCCACTGTGACATGTCCACCAATGTGACCCTATTCTCAGTATGGATATCATGGCAGAGGCTTCAAGGGAAATCTGCCACAGGTTTCACAGACGGAGGTTTACCTGCTAGCTATAAATCTCGAGTTGATGTTAGCAGACTTACTAGCTTACACACTTGGACATTGGTAACGTTACTGTACATCCTCTTGCATCATTTGAAGTCTAGCTTTGTTGGCTGGCTTGCCACGCAAGTTTCAAGCCACATTATGCGGCTGCTGGTGGAGAGCGCTGCCGGTGTCTGCCGGAGCCGGGCAAGCAAGCAACATAACTGGGCTTAGAAGTCTTTATGGACGTAACTTTAGCTAATGGCAGAGGCAAAGAGGCCAAATAGGACGTTGACAGTGAAATCTATGAAGAGAAAAAGAGAGTGATTAAGCAAGAGGCTCCCAGACGTTGGCAAGAGCTTTGTGAAATAAAATGCTTTAAGACAGATGCCGAGCTGGCAACCTTTCTGTGTACACAGTTGGACTAGTA